ACCGAACACGAACAACTCTTTATTCGCTCCTGTTCAACACGTTTTAGCTTGAAATTTAAAAAATATATATATAATTATTTATATAATAATATATCACATATATTATTTATATAATAATTTATTATATATATTTATTTCTAAGTTTAAATCATTACATCTCGTGTGGGTGGTGATGTGGTTAATGTTTTCTTTTGTATATATTTGGTCCAGGTTCGAATCTCACACTTTACTTCTATGTTTTTCAATTTAATTTTAACGAGTCAATTTCGAGCCAAACACGAGTTGAACACGAACACAAATATTTAAATTGAGCCGAACATGAACACACAGTTTACGAGCCGATTTCGAACACGAGCCGATTTCGAACATGAGCTATTTCGAACGAGCCGAACAGAGCCAAGCCTGAGCTCGCTCAAGCTCGGCTTGTTTACAGCCCTACTAACGGTGACAACAGTGGAAAGCTGTAATATGTATTAATATGGGATATTAACAGCTTGGAGAGTGGATTGTTGACCATGATTTCGAGCTGTTGGGGTTGGCTAAAAAATTCGAGAAAATATTGTGTTCGGAGAACGGACATGATACACCCGAAGGAAATGTAATATGTATAAATATATCCGAGAACGGAGTCTGCATGCGTTCAGGCTCCAGATTTCGGCTCTTAGTCTTGCTCGTGTTTTTTCGATTAGAGCCAAAATTCAGATAAATTTTAGAACGATTAATAAACTTCAAGATAAATTCACTAAATTCACAACTCTAATTGTGGTAAGCATGAAAAAAATTCAATCTAAATTTTTGGCTCATAGCTCGGCTCGTTTATTTTTATCTGATCTCATTCCGGATCAAAATTTAAATCAATTTTCAAACGATTAACGAGTTGTTCATTACCCGACATAATCTGAATGAAGTAATATAACGAGTGTGATCTATTAAACACTAATATTTTATGCACAAATTAATGAATAAATTCAATGTTACATAAGAGTAATTTTATTTTTTAATATTATAGCGGATTATTATTATTATTTTTAAATAAGTCTTTATGACTTTTTTATCTAGATCTTTTAAATAAACTTTAAAATAATTTTTTGTTCAATTTTCTGTTTATCCGTCAGAATTTTTATGGACATAAAATTTTACTGTATTTTTTATTTTATTAGCATTTAATAAATATAAACATCAATTAATCAGATTTTAAACAAAGTTAAAAAATAGTTTTTCAAAATAATAAAAATATTAACTAAAATTAGAATTTAATATTGTGTAGAGATTTTATGTGGGGCCCACGAACATACAATCCTGCAGGCTCAAAGGCGGTGTAGATAAGGCCCTGGGCCCAAACGCCGGCCCGGCAAGGGGACCAGCGCGCGCGAGTCACGTGCGAGTGGCAGCGAGAATCCCGCGACTAGACTCGCCACGTGCAGATCCTCCGGACATCCGCGTGCGGCCTGCACACGTTACGTCACGAGACTGCGATCTAGGCCGGGCCGGTCTCTTAACCTGAACCGTGCGACCCAAGTTAGAGCTCTCTGGTCCACGACATGGACGGCCCAGAGATTTATAAAAGTACGGCCCCGCGTTGCCTGGACCGTCCATTCTTTGTACGCGTGAAACGGAGTACCGTCGAAATCCAGCTTCAGGCATGGTGGGGACCGCATAGGTCACCGACCCGTTTAATTTTAAATTGACGTAAATGTCCCTATCTTTTGACGAACCCTTTTTATGTATCCTTCGAAAATCAATTCAAATTTTAGCTCGGATTCATTTATTTTTATTTATTGTGTTCTAAATTAATATGAACATGGGTTGATTAGGGCTGTCAAAACGGCTCGTTGTTTGCGAACAGCTGGTGTTCGACTCGTTAAGAAGCTCGTGTTCGGCTCGTTAATTTTGTTTGATAAGTTAACGAGCCGAACTCGAACTAAGATGTGTTCGTTCGTATTCGGCTCGTTTTGGCTCGAAATACTACTCATCCGGAGTCTTACCCCTTATAAATATGTACTAGTAATATAAATAGAAGTGAAAAGATGCAATAAATTTTTTTTTTATGTAAAAAAATTTAAATGAGAAAAAAATGATGAAATTTGTCCTGCTCAGAAAAGTCTATTATATAATTAAAGTTAAGTAGTTGTTCGTCTCTCCCCAAAAACAAAACACGTAATTGAAGATTGAGATCTCTGTTCTTATATTGTTACAATAAGGATTGTTAAAAAAATGACGATTAGGTGATAATGGGTGAATAATAATATTGTGGTGATATTAATCAGAAAACAAAATATAGAGATAAGAATAAGACAATAACAACAACGTGATAGTATTTGGATTCGAACAAGTCTTGATAGTGTTTAGGCATCACTAAAGCTTGTTGAATGATCTTAGATTTAGTTTTGAGCTCGCATACTCTCTCTCGAATGAAGAATATAAGTACATTTATAATTATATAATTAGAATTATATTATATTATATTATAAAATTTTAAAATATTTTATTAGGCAATTCATTTTAATTCGTTAGATCATATATCAATCTTTCAATATTTAAGTAACAACAATAAAAAAATCATATGATATTAATCTTGTTGGATCTCTCTCATTGACACTTTTAATTTGACTACAAATATGTCAAATTGAGAATTGTTTGACCTTTTAATTAATGCTTTAAAGCTTCTAATTTTAATTCGAATAAATGTTTAAACTCATTTGAACTCAAAGTGTCGTTGGGTTTGCATTATCAAGATATTTAATTTACTTATAAATTTGCTATAATAGAAGGTTGGATGATCATGATTGAATCATGAATTTGTCACATTTTAGATGTGTTAGATTTATCCAAGATTATGTTGATTTATGAGTTACATTTTTATTTTCTGATATGAAAGTAATGGTTGTTTGAAAGTAGTATTATAGTTCAATTAGATTAGGACATCTAAATTGAGTACCGCTATCTAGCTTAACCTAGTATACCTAAGTAATAGTTATGATTAAACATAGATGAGTGTGCAGTGAGTAAATAGAGAAGGTAAAGCAGTGCAACAAAAGAAATAAAGAGCCATGATCCATATCATGTTATAGAGCTGCACAAATACGATCACATTATGACTGCACAACCAGATATTTTCGGTCATATCATACAATTCTCCTTAAACAAATGATCCTTAAAGTTATATGATCATGACATGCATGATTAGGGCTGTCAATTTGGCTTCGTTGTTTTGAACAGCTCGTGTTCGGCTCGTCAAGCAGCTCGTGTTCGGCTCGTTCGTTAAGCCTAACGAG